GTCATGGAGCTGTGGTCTTTGGGAGAACAAGGGCAATCTGCTTCAAGACTCTCTGACAAAGACATTGTCCTCCTTGCAGATTTCCATGATATAGTGAAGTCTTAAATTCAAGTCTCTCCCATCAGGTGGAATTATTTCACGGCTGCTGAGTTAGCTGAGTTCCCATCCCAATATCTCTCTCAGCAATTTTCTTTTAATTTTTTTTAAGAGATGGGATCTGTCTGTTCAGCAATATTATTTTATAAGCATACATGTGCCAGAGGCACTGGATGACAGAATAGAAGTGGGGTGACAGCATTTTACAAGATAGGAGTAAGAGACATTGGCTGCTGTTTCTGAAATGCATCCTAAGACAGAAAAAGTTTTCCAGTATAGATATTCCCAAAAAGACAGTATCTGGGTTTGGGCTTTATTTAAATGTTGTTAGCTTGTGAGAATTCTGTAATGATACTAAAATATAATAGGAAAGTAAACTATTGCCTTAAGCCTCAATGAAAGTTACATATCTACAAACAACAGAGGCAAAGCAAACAACTTCAAGACAGTCAATAGACTTTGGGTAAGGTGTACTGTTATAATGTCCTGAGAAATCATAAATAAAGATGTGAACCATAGAGCAGAATTGTTGTCTTGCAAGCCTGGCTCCACCACAGTCCATGGCGTAGATATTTCTTATGTGTCCGTTCTAGTGTCTCTTCCATAATATCAAGCCCACATGTTGGCTTGCATGTTCCATGCATTTTAACCATGGTGACTGATCTATGCAGAACTGGTTGGCTGAAAGCCTCATAGCCAAGAAACTGCAGTCTTTATTTGGTGCCCTCTCCATGGACAAAGAAGCAAGGAAAGCTAGAATTAAGCTTCCTGTAGATGTCAAAATAAGAAAACTAACGTTAGAGAGTAGATGGCAAATTCAAATTTTTGGAGACAAGCACACGTTGTAGGATGGCTTCCTTCACATGTGCAAATCTGTGATTTCTCTGTTGACTTTTCCATTATATCCACTATTTTCTTAATGCAAAATCAGAGGTTGCTACTGTCTGTGGTGTTTGACTTTGGTTGTCTTAATAGGAGAAAATCTTGAGGAGTTTGCTCATGGGGTATGAAGTGAGCAGCAGGATAGTCAAATATTTTTGACTATGAACATTTAAGTGACTACAAGAAGAAGAGCAGCCCTGCTGGTAGTGAGCCACTCCTTGCTTGTGGGCCCCTGGAGGAATGAGTAAATAGACTTTCCTAGGGAGGAACCCTACCAACTTGTCATTCTCCAGGCAGGATTTTGTTGATTAGAGATAGGGGTGAGTTCATGTGACTTGGAAGGAGACCAAGTTTTCAGGATTTCTAAATCCTCAGTCTAGTACCAGACTGTGATCAGAGGAGTGATTTTGAGGTTCACATCTGACTCCAGATTTCTTCTCAGGCCCTTTGCAGTGTTTGGTTTCAGCATCAGATAGAAAAAGTCAAACTCAACTTTAGTTTAGAACTAGATGGGTTATCACAGTAGGTATGGCCAAGCTGTGAAAAGCACACCAACACCTGTTAGAGCATTATGTTAATATTAAGAAAGGTAAACTGCAGTCTCACTTTAAATCAAATGTTGAAGCATGGAATAAAGTTTGTCCACTTGGGCAGTTTATCCATTACCTTGAACTGCCCAGAGGCATGAATAGAGAGGCACTGAACTGTCAGCCTCTGTTACAAGAATTCTGGGAGAAAATATGGGTGTAGTCGGTTCTGGAAGTCCCAGAACCCCATTAACTTTTGCCAGTAATTTAACCTGATCAGAAATTACTTGGCCCTAAAGTGCCCAGATTTTGCTACTGTTGCTAGTGATTAAATTAAGGCCTACCACACTAACTTAGAAACTTAAGGTTTGTGAGGTTTGTGACCTCACAGTAGATTGCTGATTTCCAGGGGGCTTTTTTTTTCCCTCCTTGGAAGAGGTCCAAACATCTTTTCGTCCATTTGTTCCAGTGGGTGAGTCTTGGCAGAACCTGGCATAGCCAGGAACAGCATAGTGACAAGCCCTGCCTCTCAACAAATACAGTGTGCTTGAACCAATTCACCTAAGGACCCACCTTCATGCGGCTTTTGGCTCCAGTGCTGCAGGCACTAGAGAGAACTGAGTCATGGTTATGGCAGAGGCATCCATCACGACACAGCTGCCCAGTGAAGTACAGAACCATGTGAACTCAGAGCTGAAAGCAGTGTAGATGCAGCAAAAGTCTTTGCAGTTTGAGCAGCAGATGTCTTTCCCCTATGCCAGTAGTGAGATACTTGGCATCTTGGCACAAGTTTTCTGTGTAAATTTGGGTGAGTCACTTCATCTCTCCCTCAGTTTTGGTCTGTATTGTTCATCCAGGCTTTTAGGACCATAGATTTGTTTCTTTCTGGGCAGAGGGATAGTCCTTCACTATCGAGTTTTTCAATCATTACTGTAGCCTAGATAATTTGATACAGCTATTAGTTTCTCTTCAGCTTGTGCTGAATAAGAGGTACCATCCAGAAGAGATGAACAATTTGCCATAACGATGATGATGTTAACACATATTTCATAGAGCACTAGATTCAAGACCTTTTGAGATCCTACCACACCTACTTCAGTGAGGCTTTGTTCCTCTGCATAGCTTCTGAGAGTTGTTGCAACACATATAATTAAGAACAAGAAATGTTTACCTGGGGCTTAAAATTCTGCGAGACCATAATATAGTACCAGCATTCTCCACCCATCTAAGCGCTCCCAGTGTCGTGAATGGAGCGACACACCTCCCTTATAAGAGGTAGCATGTTTATTGACATAAACCAGAGTTTTAGCAAGGTTTGATAGTAAATGTGACAGTGTTTTAACAAACTTTGATGGCAAGGTACACTTGATTATTTACTGCAGAGGGCAAGGTGAGACAAAACTGTCAGAGAGACCCTCCAGTTGAGTCATGAGGTTCATAAAGGACCTCCTTGTATTTTAAACCCCTTTCTGAGGGGTTTCTATGTGTGGCTGAATCCAGACCTAGTTCCAGGCTTTGTCAATGGTTTATATCTAAAGGATTATATGTGCACAACCAATACTTTATCTTACTTAGCTAAGATTTCAAAGTTTCAGTGTGCTTATTCCCAATTCACTTACTAAGTATTTAATGCAATAAGGATTCCCTCAACCTTGGAGAGTAACCTTGAGGGGCCTCCCTATTCAAGGGGAGATCCTGGTGTGCAGCCCACTGCCACACAGGAGAGCTCAGCAGACCCTGGGCTGTTCCCTATTTATGGAGTAAGATGATTGACTTACAATAATACTTGCAATAATACTTGCATACCAGCTGTATTTTGGTTGGCCCATGCTCAACTAGCCCTCTGCTGTTGAGTAAGTTTTATGGCCCTTAGCTATTGTGTTATTATCTGTCTTCCGAGAGTCCAACTCAAGCCAGGTGCAGCCATCACAGCCACTGCTGATAGCTATTGCTTAAGCCAAAAACAGGGGTGGGGGGCGGGGGGAAGTGCACTGCCACACCTAGTGAGCTCATCCTAACCATCCCTTCTGCATAGGACCTTCTTCTATGCCATTAAAATAATTGGGAGTTTTGCCATTGATTCCAATGGCAGAGACTTTATATCAGTACCAGAGCATGCTAGTGATGAGAAAGATGTGTGATTGGGTGGAGGGGGAAAACTTTTCTTTCAGTCCCTCACAATGGCTCAGAAATCCATTGAAAATGTTAGCAAGAGGCCTTTTTATTTCATTCTGGAAAAATCAAGTATATTTATTTCCTGTAATAAAATATTCTAATGGTAGTAAAGAGTGAAATTCTAGAAGGAAAAAATTGATTTCTCAGCTAATTGAGGAGAGAGGGGGAAATTACAAATCCCCGGTTGCCTGTTACTGGTTGACTAGCAACATTTGGCCACAGAAAGCAGTATGAACATAGTTTTAACACACAGGTGGCTACAAGAGAAGGCCTGTGCTGTATGAAGCCCAGTATCTCCTAAAGTCATCCAACCTACTTTTCAAATTATATTAAAAAAATGAGTCAGACTGAAACTGTTGTTGATTGTCTGCTCCACTTCAGATAGTTGCATGTTCATTTTAGCTTTAGAAAGAAATTTGTGTCAGCATTTTCTCTTCCTTATAGTCACACTGGCTTTTCAAAATAGTTTTTGAGCTAAAAGTAAGTTTCTTAAAATTCATACAGTGGTACAAAAAATACCTCTTTCCTTACTGCTGCCACACTGAAGCAGATGGTGAGTACTAAGACTCAGAATCAGTAAGCAAGTAATTATTCAATGCCTGGGTGCAGAAATGTAGCTGTTGGGTCAAAGTAGACTTCTACAAGACAGGCTGTCATTGCAAGTTAGTCTGAGTTCAAGTCCCCTTGAGTTAGCCCAGTAAGACTCCTATAATTGATTACATGAGAGGCAGAGATGCCCTGTTGCATATCCGGCTTGAGTTTCATCTGCAACCATCTACCTTAAGCTGAAATGCAGTTCCAGTTCTGTGTTTTTCTGTGTGAACAGTAATCAGACTAGGGATGACACCTATGTTATGCCTTAGGTTAGTAAAGACAAACTTGCAAAATTCATCACGCAGCTAATGTGCATTCTCACTAAGATATCCACAGTCACTTTGGCACACAGTGCCAAATTATATAAAATTTGGCAATTTTATGCGTGGGGATATGCTGCCTGTGAATAATGCCAGCAGAGAACTATTTAGTGCAAACTGGTCTTGGAAAAAGTTGATTCTGCAAATTACAAAGCAACTTTTGCTCCCTCTGAAGTCAATAGAAGCTTATTTCAGTTTTCAAATTCACTTTAATTAACCTGGTCTTGACACTGTGGCACTTGCCTTGTTGTAAAGAAAATTGGTAGCTGTGAAAGATCAAAAATTTTCTAATTTAAGGTGGGAGGAAATGTTAGCTGCTGCTGAAAACCTTATCTTTTTAATAAGCAATAATGCAACCTGATAATTTACCGTTATTGAGTTTTCTTCTCTTTTTTTTTTTCTTAAGCGGAATTTATGTCACCTGTAGACAGAAATAAGGAAAGTGGATTGAAAATGCCAAACCTATGCAAATTTTGTGACATTAAAGTAACAACCTGCTCAAATCAACATCAGTGCAAGAGCAACTGCAACATCACTTCTATCTGTGAGAAAACTAGTGAAGTCTGTGTTGCTATATGGTAAGTTATTTCGTCATACAGGTGGGGATGGGAGCACACTCTAATTCACCATTAGTACTTTCCTTAATTGCTCTGATATTCAGAATGTCCCTGCTCCCCCACCAGGCTTTGCTATCTCCTTTCCCACTCATATCTGTGGTCAGCATACTGAGAGTTGTTTGAGGTTAACAATTCTGATATGAAATGTTCTGGGGACTTTTTTCTTCTAAAACAGTTCTGTTGCAGCTTATGCTGTTATTGGAAAAGAGGCATGGTTCTGCTCAAACCAGTAAGCTGCATCCACCCACAGCACTCAGAGTAGAAACAGATTTGAGACTCAAGAGAGTATTGTGGTGACATTTGCTGAAGAAAGACAATTCTCTTGTAGATTTCAAAGTGAACTAAATTATGTAGATAGGAGGAGGCCATTATGTAGATAGAACAGGAGGCTTATTGCCGTGTAAATAGCCAGGTAGAAATACTTTCTCTTAATGTTAAACAAAATTCTCTGTATTTAGTGACTTCAATGTAGGCATGATGCCTTTTATACAGCCTATGTCTTGATTCAAAGAAATCAAGAGTTTATGAAAATGAGTTGTTTAGGACTTCTTGACTCTAAACTTGTGTTCCAGTCTGAAAACTGAGGTTTTGCCCTTCCATAAATGGGAATCCAATCCTACCAAGGAAAACAAGAAACACTCTTAATGAATTCATAACTGGACAAAAGGAACAGAACTATGTGTTTGCAGCATTGCTGCTGATTTAGGAGAATAATTAGAAGCCCTTACCCAGAGACATAATTAATTCACTTATTGAGGGATTAGTTGTGTCCATTGACTTGAAGAGATGTTCAGCGTAATTGGAAGTAGACATTTGATTTGCAGTTCCAGTGTGCTGTTCTATATTCGTCCTGTGCTTCTTTAATAAGTGATCAGTGTCTATTATTGCCATAAAAAGGGACTGTAGTGCAATTTAAGATATGTTCCGGATTTTTCACGGTCATTTATTCAAAAGGCAAATGAGTTAAGAACTGTATTTAAAGGGTTCTTTGCCTTTCAGTCTTTTGTCAATGAAATGAAATCTATGGACCAGGACAGAATACAGGAATATGTTTCAGATTGTCAGCTGATAGTGAGGCAACTCTAGCTTGCATCAGTTTTATTATTGGTATTGGGGTGAGGTTTGTTTTCTATTTGTTTAGTTTTTTTTAAAATATAAAGATAACTCCTTCAGTGCAGTGCAGAAATTTTGCCGATTGTAGGCTTAAAAAATAAATAAAAGGCCAACTCAATAGAAATTCCTCAGATTTTGAGGAAATAATTCTCTTTTTATCATAATTTCACACAGATTTTTACTGTCTGCTCAGTGACCACAAAAACCAAAAGTATGTTCCAAAGTTCACAGCAGTTCATTGAACACTAGCTTGAATAATTCTGGATGAGATTTCCAAAGGCACTCTTCCGAGCTTTGTGGTAATATGATACAGGAATAGCTGTGCCATTGTACAAATGTGAGGAGTCCAGACACAGCCAAATCTGCCCCATTCAGGAAAGACAGAAAAGAATACATGGTACTCTTTAAATGCTATTTATGTTTTCAAAAGAGGCAAATTTTGGGCAGGTGCAGTCCTATCTGCTCCCTTTGTAAAATATTCCTTCTTTGATTTCAGTTTTCTCCTTTTCATTTTCAGGAGACAGAATGATGAAAATGTGACCCTAGAAACAATTTGCCATGATCCCCAAAAAACACTTTATGGCCACGTTTTGGATGACTACAACTCAAAGAAGTGTTTGATGAGGGAAAAGAAGGAAGATGGGGGATTGATGTTCATGTGTTCCTGTACAAGTGAAGAATGCAACGATATGCTCATTTTTACATCAGGTAGGTTTAATAATTTACCTTGCATTCCTACATTCCTTGCAACTGTGTAATACCAAGGTACTTTGGACTTGCATTTTGTGGAGGAAAACTTCTAGTGGTCTCTTTTGAATCCTGCAAAATCTCAACCTTCCTTTTGTGCGTTCAGAGGATATTTCTTTCTACCAGGCTGTCCTCCTTTTGAAATAAGTCTGATAGTCAGCCCGAGACATTGCACTTAAAGCTGATTAAAGAGGAAAGCAAGACGTTTACATTTGTTCTGTTGACAGACCAAAATGCTACATATACTAATTACATTATAATACCTAAACTAGAGGCAAATTCTGTATTTAAGGTCTTGCCTCTTCTAAAAGGCTGTATTCCCATAGTGTGTCATCTGCATATATAAATGCTACTGATAACTTGATAGAATGTGAAATTTAAGTCAGATTCTCTGTTGTAACTGACCATCTGCCCTTGTTCTGTGGTGGGCATGAAGTAGCTAGAAGGTTCCTCCTCAGGGGGATATGTTACCTCGCTCTTACTATGGCAAAAGGAAGTGTATGTGGGTTCAGTTAAACCAGGGAAATCTGACTATAGACCAAATCACGACCTGTCCCCATTCTACTTCAGCCCACTGCAAACATAATAAAGGCAGTGCAGGTGTGTATAGGGCTGGTGGACCTCATGCTGCACACACGGATGTGCATGGGTCCGCACACACACCCCTTGCTTTATTTTCTCCTGCCTGCTGGATCCCATAGTGATGCTTTTACTGAGACGAAGTCAGGTCTCTTGCAGGCAATTTTGAGGCCTTCTGTGGAGAAATTTGTGTGCACACACTTCTAAAGGATTGCAGCACACAGAACCCATCTTCATTGCCTGTAGGTTCCTCAGAACAGGATATAATTAGATCCTCATTACCTGAGATAACAAAGGGTTGGGACACTGTTTCTACTCCTGGAAAACATGGTGCGTGACTGCACTGAGGTGGACAACTGTGTGAGTGACTTCCAGCTCTCACTTCCCAGTCCTCCAAGAAGGCGAACTAGTTTAGGTCACAAAACCACAACAAATTAGCCAAGAGAAAGCTAGCAAGTCTTTTTTTCCCTTGGCCCAGTCTATCCATATCTGGTCCCATGCTCTTCCTTATTCCCTCTCCAAGCCTGATTTGAAACCAGACAACCTGATTGCTGATCTGTGGTTGTGTGACCAGCCCTTACGGGGGTGAGCTTTAAAGAGTTTGGAGTATATACTGGTATTGATGTGAGCACAGGGGGTAGATCCAGGACCTAATTCTAACAGATTTTTTTTAAGAGAATGTATTCCCAGTGAATAGATCTTACTCTGTGTTAGCTGTCTAGTGTTTTTGTACAGCATGAACCACACCCTTGTGTATTTTGGCTAATTTGTTATGAATTAGTCATCTTATAGCTGTTTCTCCTGGAGCTGTATAGCTGAAGGCAATCACCGTGATAAATGTGTGTCTTCAGTGTGTATGTTTATGAAAACTGTTCTAGAAACTCAACACCAAGTGCTTTAATTCCCAGCAACTCTGCAGCCTCACTCACATTTCCAGAGTAGCCTAAAAGGAGTAGTATAAATTTAAACCCAGTCTTTTTACCCTAATTCCTTTCACTCCTCTGAGTGGAGCTTTTCCTTCTAGGTCATGTGCTGTAAGCACTCTAGGTGACTCATGAAAACCATGTGCTGCATTCATATGTATTAAGTGAATAACTACAGACAAAAATTAAAATAATGTAAAACTTCACTTTGTAACATTTCCAGTTCATTCACAAACACAGGCATTAACTCCAGTCGGAAGGGGGGAGAATTGAGGCTTTGTCATTCCTTTTTTTATTGTTGTGGATTAGTGTTTCTTTTAAATGAAAACAGCCCCATTGGGTTGCTTGCCTGGTTAGCCATGGCAGGAAGACAAACGATTTTTACAGTATCAGACATGCGGTTTCCTGTCTGTGTTTAACTTTGAGCAGAACATCACAGCCAGCTGGTCCATGGCTCCTCCAGACAACTAGATAATAGCCTGTAATAATTTTGCCTTTGGAATGACTGTCATCCAAATCTATTCCATACATTGTTCTTGCCTTTTTTTTTTCTCTACATTTCTTGTCCACCAGAGCAAGAATTTTTTGCAGTGGTTTTGCATATTCTGTAGTTTTAGAGAGCAGACAAAAACTACTCTAAAAAAGCCTGATCAAACAATGATTTTACTCATTTATTAGCAGAAATTGAGATGATAAAAAAGATTGTAATTCTTCACCTGTTAATCACAGCCTTTCCTTTCAAGCTGTTGCTATAAATGATTAGTGTTCTACCTCTTCTTCCTGCATACACACTTGAGACAGACCAGATTTAATTTGTTTCTGGTTTTTCTGAGGTAAGAAAGAAAATTATGGGTAAGGCAACAAGTTCTAATTTCCACCTGACATTAGTCACTATGTTTTAGTGATTCACAGCTGGGCTGTTATTGCTTATGGAAGAATTGGTTTATAGCACTGTTGGCTCATATCAGTCTTGAATGTGAAGGGCAAATCTCATGACTCCATTTTTAGATACAAACACCTAAAGGTTTTGGGTACTGGGAGGTGTTGTGACTCACCCAAGCGTGGCTTTAGAAATGTTTGAAATAGTTACATCCAAATCAAATGCCTATTTCTTGTATGGACTTTCATTTAAATGGCCAGTCTGCAAAATAAGAAAGACAAAGTCAGATATGCACCTAAACATGCCTGTAGTTCTGCTGTATCAGGGGGCTGACCCTGATTCAGATCCCTGGTGTTTCAGGCCACAGGCACCTCATCGAAAATACTGTGTGCAGAATCAATGTTCTATAGTTCTTGGAGAAATAATATAAAGGAGACAGGTAACCATTGTAAATCTGACTACTGTGTATTTGTTTGTTAATACATCCCCTTTTTGCCAAACAAAATTGTGAATCACTGGCAAGCAACTTACAGCCCTGTGGTGGAAAAATGCTTCTCACAGCAAAACTCAATGCCAGTGTGTTGTAATTATTATTTATTCAAAAGTCTAATGTCAGTGTTACCCGAAGGCAAAGCCAGGGAGCAAAACCACTGGAAAAGATTAACTAAAATCAGGGTGAAAAGGCCCTGGGTGGCTAAAGGTTGACTAGGCAGCAGACAGAGGCCTGGCCCTACTGTCATGGAAAAAATGAGCACTGGACTACCAGGGTTTTTTCCTCCCTGATGTCTGGTTGTGTCTAGTGGATCTTCTACATCTTGCTTTACCTTCTTATGCTTTGACCTACTGTGATGAACCAGGTCTATCTGTAGTTGACTGAGTTGTCTCAGTCCTCCCTTGATGTTTGGGAAGCTCTGTTCCTCAGCCTTCCCTTTGCCACACCATCTTCCAGCCTCTATTCATCAACCAGTGCGAGCATGACAACTGTCTAACAAAGTTGGTTTTTATTAACAATCTTGAGTTCCTTGACTGAGGTCAAGGCTTGTTTACCCAAAAGGACCAAGCAGGATAGGGCCCTTTCCGGTCCCACATCTCACCCATTTTCCACAGGCAGAGATGACTAGGCAATCTTAGTAATATGCAGGAATCTCATTTCCTTGGCTACAGAGTGCGTGACCTACCTGCTATGCCATGCAACTTCTTCCTTTTATGCAGCTCATTCAGGCACTTTCATTCAGTGATGTGCAAAAGGGTGACCCAGCACTGGACATTGCAAACAGGAAAACAAATCCTTTAAGTACTGTTGTCAGTATATATGCAGTTGTTATCCTGGGCATCAAATTCAAATCCAAGCAACAATGCAGAGAACTCAAAATCTGGAAACAGGATTTTAACATACTCTATTTGGTTTACAGTTGTTTCATTCTAATAACTTACATGGCAGTAATATTTTATCATCAACTGTCTTGCCATGGTATGCTGATCTTCATGCAGCTTGAAAACAAGGTGTCTGTGGGATTGTTCAGGTAGACTATGTTTATTGCTCATGTCCTGCAAGATGAGGTCATTATTTTGGGCATTCCCACCTCACCCAAATACGGGAGAAATCTGTAGCAGCAACAATGTGTACAGATTCTGAATCATCCAAATAGTTGCCTTGGAGTATCAAAACTTCAGTGATAGACATGAACAGCAGGTCAACAAGAGTTTATGAAAATAATGAAGCTAACTGGGGAAGTGCGCCAAGGAAGGGAGAGTGTTGTGCTGCTAACAATCTTCACATTGATCATGGTTTCACAAAGCTGGCTAATTGAGAGTGTAAGAGATGTAAGTATTTGATTAATCAATTGTGGGTGAGTCATTTGCCTGAACAAATTACAGTCTATGGATTTGCAGTGTGTCAAGTGCTGTGGTTGCTCACTGTGTATGGTTGTTACCTGGGAGAGCTAATATTGTTCTGCTGCCTGAAGCACTGCAAGCATGCCTGTGCAATGCCCTGTCCTATGCCCAGATCACAGGAGATATGGATGATGTTTTAGAGTTTCCTTAACTTGATATCTCTCACTTGTCTCTAACATGTTGCCCGTCTTTTCCTTTCTTTCTCTCCTCTTCCTCTCCTTACTAGAATCAAAGTGTTAGTGATTTTACTTGACTACATAGAAGGATCTCAAACTTAAGAGCAGACTTAAGATCTGTGCACAGTCATGAGACCATAAATACTTATGTGATGAGTTGTCCGGTGCTCAAGGAACAACAGAAGGGAGATGATTACAGCTGGACTGCTTCCAAGTGGATTTTAACAAAGGCTTTCATTAATCTCTTTTTCTGTTATCCAACTAACATGTTCAGAAGGTAACTGTCTTCCAGCTGCCCCATAAAAGAGGTCAGTAGCATTACATAACGTGTCACAGAGCCTCTCACCGCTTGTATATTGGCTTTGTTATCTATGTTTCCTCTTAGGTATTTGCAGGCACAAGAGTCCCACCCAGTGCCTGCAGCTGTGTGTAACCAAAGGAGAGGCTGTCTAATGCTGAATGTCTGAATCACTTAGTGGGATAGAAAGGAAATAGAATGGAAAGAGG